CAATCCATTCAGACCACCCCAATTTTCATAGTTACTTGTCTCTAGAGTCCTTGGCACCTCAGTTGATTTACCCCTCTCCTCTCACCAGATTTCTTCTTCCTTTTTACTTCTCATCCAACCTTGCAATTATGTCAAACATTCCCTGATGGCACCTATATCCAACCCAATCTTTGTTATCTCTCTCTCCACAATACCTACTCTTGCCCTCCATTCTCATATTAATGATTCCCTAACTTAACTTCGCTCTTATACCAATTTGTTAGAATTCACTCAACTAAATCAAACAATACAATAGTCACAACCAATTAAATAGAAAATTTGAATATAAAGATAAACAAGCAGAAATATCTAGAATTGATGAAGATAGATGTATATATCTTTGATAATGTAAGATGATAACCACTACACCAAGAGCAAAATTGCCAACTCTAAGCCAAAACAGAAAATAAACAACAAAGAAATACACAAAACAATTAAGAACCAAGCTGGACTTTGAGGGCTAGCATCCTCCCCAAGTTTTCCCCTACTATTTTCAATACCCTTTTTTCTCTCTTTATTCCTTTGCACTCTCTTTCTCTTTAACCGAATTCTTCTCATATCTCACCTATCATTGCCATTTGTCCACTCTACAACTAATTTTAACACCTCACTATCAGCCGAAACTTCCTACCAATATCCCATAATCCACTACTTGGCTCTCTTGGACTTCCTATCGTACACCATTACTCTAATGATCTCATCATAACATCTATATGGAACTTCACCGTATTACAATATCTTTAAGGTCTTTGGATGTGTTTGCTTTGTTCATCTAAAATCACGTGAGGATTCAAAACTTCTACCTCGTTCTCACTTGTGTTGCTTTCTTGGTTATGGAATTGAGCATAAAGGGTATAAATGTTATCATCGTATATCTAAATGCTCAAGGATCTCTCGTCATGTAAAATTTTGGGGACATAAGATGTTTTCTAGTCTCTACTCTATCAACTCATCATCTACCAATGCTTCTCCTTTGTTTACTAATCCATCTCTTGACTGTTTTCCTTAAGATAGTGACATTGATACTAAAGTTACGGCTATACCCCAAGCATCTGAAGAGACTATTGATCCTCCTGATAGTAGCGACATTCAAGTAGGGTACGTGAACCACTATCTCATCTAAAGATTATCATTGTTATTATGCTCTTGCTATTTTACATGAACTTCGCTCTTTTTGTGAGGCTTCTACTAACCGTCTTTGACAAGAAGCTACGACGAACGAGCTTCAAGCTTTAACTGACAGTCATACTTGAGACCTAGAGAAAATCTATAGTAGGTTGCAAAATAATATACAATATTAAAACTCGGTATGATGGTTCTATCGAACAATATAAAGCCCGTTTAATTGCAAAAGGTTTTGCTCAAGAGTATGGTATTGATTATGAAGAGACATTTGCTCTAGTTGCTAGATTGACTATTGTTAGAACTTTACTTGTCATTGCAGCAATTCATCATTGGTCTTTTTTTCAGATGGATGTAAGAAATGCATTCCTTAATGTTGATCTTGTTGAAGAAGTATACATGCAGCCTCCTCAAGGATATGACCATCCACCTAATAAAGTTTGTCGCTTTTGTCGTGCATTATATGGTCTTAAGCAAACAACTCCATGAGAATGGTTTGCAAAATTTAGCACTACAATGGCAAAAAATGGTTTTGTCTCTAGTGCCTATGACTCAACATTATTTCTTTGCAAAATTGATCAAGGTACTATCATTCTTTTGCTTTATGTTGATGACACACAGGAGATGATTTAAAAGGATTCCAAGATTTCAAAAAGTTTCTTAGTTAGTAATTTGAAATGAAAGATCTTAACCTCTTAACTACTTCTTAGATCTTGAAGTAACCTCTTCTTCATATGGTTATAACTTGAGTCAAGCCAACTATGCTACTAACTTTACTCTCATGATGGCCTTACTGATGACAAAGTTGTTGACTCTCCATTAGAACTAACTATCAAACTTCGAGCTACTGATGTAGAGCCTCTCAAGGATGCCACTCTTTATTGTCAATTAGCTGGTAGTGTAATATATCTCACTGTGACTCGTCTAGATATACTATATGCAGTTCATCTAGTCAGCCAATTCATGTCCGCTCCGCGTTCAATACACCTTGCAAGTGTATTGCATATTCTTCAATATGTAAAAGACACAATATTCCATGGACGTCATTTCTCTGCTCACTCTTCTCTATAACTAGCTACGTTCTCTGAAGCAAATTGGGTTGGTGATCCAATTGATAGATGTTCTACCGCAGGTTATTGTTTCCTACTTGAAGAGTCTCTCATTTCTTGGTAGCGTAAGAAGCAAACCATTGTGGCCCGATCCAATACTGAAGCAGAGTATAGAGCCCTTGCTGATACTACTTCTTAATTGATTTGGTTACGATGGAAACTTCAAGATGTATGAGTCTCCATCACTTCTCCCATACCACTATATCGTGATAACCGAAGTGTCAATTCAAATAGCCCTCAACGATGTCTTCCGTGAGCATACATGTAGGGCTTTCAATTGAATAAACGCGAAATAAAACAAAAATTTTATTCAATGTTAACCCGATTCCCATGATCAGGATTGATATAATTCAATTTATTAATTAAAAACTAATTAATCATACAAGGATTAATTCAATACCAGTGTTGGTGGCTCCTTCAAACAAATTCTGATTAAAACTTCACAAATAGATTCAAGTGTAGAATCAAACAAGACAGTATCTACACAAAAGCAAGACAGGAATCAAAAAAGAATTAACTGCTAGATTAATTGGTTTGCCCTAAGAGAGAAAATGAAATTGAGAGAAAACAAAATTTTCTCTTCGCAAGAGGTGGCGGCTAGGGTATTGAGTGAGAAAATAATATGAATTATATTCATAAAATCTCCTGTTCCTTTCTTTATATAGTGAGGGATAAAATATCCCTCCTTTAGAATAGGAATATTGCTATTCCTATTTGGAATAGCATTCCAATTAATTATAATCTAAACAAATAATATAAATATATATTTATTCATATATTTAATTTTGGTATTTAAATATATTTAAACTTAATTAAATATATTCTATATTAATATTAATGTTTTATATTAATCTTAATATACTTATAATTTTGCTAAATCAATTTCAATATAAATATTGAATATTGGCAACAACCTCGAAGAATTTAATCGCACAGAAAAATTACCAAAATACCAATTTCATCTAAAAGATGAAATTACCCTTCATTTCATTATCCTCCTTAAATTGCCTTTAAAGTGTGTGACCCATAGGCTCTTTATTATGTTGACAATGACCAGATTCATAATTAAGCATCAACTAATTAGTGATCCGTACACCAATCAAGATTGGCCTTTAGCAAGACATCATGATTACCCAACAAATAAACATTCAGCGAAGTTGCTACCTTTCAACAGTATGGTTACTGTGCAATTCAAATCCCTTCATCATCATTTATCTCATCAAGGTTTGAAGTACAATAGTGTCAACTTCAATCGTTTTACCTTGATACATTTGCATTAGGTTATCGAATCAACGATCAAATAAAATTGGATTTAAGCACTAACTCAATTCCACTGTGGCCATAGATTTGCAGTCGTAGTTACAAACTGAATAGCTCAGCGAGATAATTTCACCTGTACGTAGGAAAGATAAATCTTGTCAATCCACGATAGCCATTGTGTACTTATCAATGTAACCAACCACTACCATACTGATAACCCTAAATAGGACTACGTTAAGCTAGTGTCAAATTACACCAATATTTACACACGATGCTCTGGTGATCTCAAGGCCAAGAATTACATGCATCACCATCCGTTAGACGATATATTCCATATCCACTGGGGTTACCATCTATATGGAATCATCTGATGGGCCAGTCTAGTAAATTTGTCAATAACAAGCACCCACGCGTCGCACTAGGTTGTCACCAAACAACCTTTACATGTGAGAACTGTCACTACCTTTCGGTAAGGTCATTCAATGCTAGATAGCCTTACTATATAATCTGTGTCCTTTGTCAGATTAATACTGAGGCTACGAATGATTTTAGAATGGGCACCATATATGATCATAGGATCCTCATGATTAAGATTTGAAATACTTAATTCCCTTGTCACGGTTCAACCCTTCTAAAGACTATTACAAGAGTCTAATATTATTGGCTCTAATGCATCTATCCTAACAGTACCAAGCACATTGAAATTAATTGTCACTTTGAGCGTTATCATGTTCTCCAAGATACTCTTCGTCTCATCTCTATCAGGACTATTGATCAACCAATAGATATTTGAGCAATGCTATACTTACAACTGAGTCATATAACCAGACAAACAACAAAGGACAGAGTAGTCATTTTACATATATTTTGGATAATTTTTATCTGGTTGTATGACTCAGTTGTAAGTAAATCATTATTGTAGATATTTTTACCAAAACTCATTCTCCAGGACAGTTTAATTTCCCAACTCAAGTTAGCCTGTAGTATACCACAGAGTTTCAAGGGGATGTCAATATGTAACAGCTATATTTACATTTATGTAATGTTGACCCCATAATTGAGTCAATCATATGATTAGTGGCAAGATCTTTTGCTTGATCTTTGCTAATCTTTCCACTTATGTTATTCTCTGTACGCTATAAATTCTCTCTAGTACGAACAATATAATACAACAAATACACAAATAAAGAGTATTTCAATGGCTCTCTCTTTCATCAATATTTTATAACTTTATCATTGACAATTGACAAATTTAAAACATTCCCACAAAATTTTTGAAGGTTTTACCATCTTCCAATTTAATCAAAGACTACATACAAGGTTTACTAGTAATTTGAATACATGAATGATACCTGATGGAACCATGATTCTATTGTTCAATGTCACTAACAAACAATCTTCAAGGAATTGAATCTCTCCTGTAAAATCCTGTTATACTTACCAAAACAAAACAATTATGTTATTGGATTCTCATAATGACTCTTCCAGGAAGAAAACATCTACATTAAGATCAGAACCAACTCCCTCATGCCCATCAAATTCGCTAAGGCCTAAAAACTTCTCTATCGGAACTTCTTGGTTCACAGCAAAAACATCCCGGAAGAGATAACCATCTTTATCTATTGGTTCTTTTATATCATCTGCGATTTCTAATGGTACGATTTTCGCCGAAATTTTGTTTGAATTTCGCAACCTTGAAGGCATATCGTTGAGTTTCTTGACGCTCTTTTTGTTGTTGTTTCTTTGTTTCAATTCCAATATCTTTGCCGCTGTTGATCCTGAGTTTATCACAGCTCTTCTCCTACACCTTTCTTTTGAATGCATTTTACAGGTCCCTTCAGGATTATTTCCAAACTTTCTCATGTCTTTCCGAGGAGACATTGTGAAACATTTCCAGGATTCTTCAGAATTCCAACACACTTCAAGCTCAAATGGCCAGAATAAAGGTTCATCAGCACCCAAATCTTCCAAATATTCTGCATCTTCTGAGACAGGCCAAATTCCTTCAGGATAATTTGATAATTTGACTTCAGGATTGCAGCTACAAGTTTTGTCCTTATCCGAAGTCTGAGAAGACGAATCAAAATTAGTTCTGAAATCTATTTCATCATTCCCTGGAGAGTTTAACATTGCAGTGACTTCTCCTTGATATTCCAAGCCTCGCAGGAAAGTTTCTTCTGCATCAGGAAAAAGTTTTTTCAGCATTCAAATTCATTGTTAGTGCGAAAATCTGACAAACTTGCGGTTGGAGTAAGAACTGATTCCGCAAGATTAATTGCTGATGTTTTTTAGAACAGTCAGGAAATTAATAAATCATAAACATAGAGAAGAAATGTACCGGAGAGTCTGTGCTCAGCGAAAAATTTGGAAGGCGAAGCAAAATCTGAAGACAACCACATACATTCATGATCATCCAGGCATCTTTCCATATCCAGCTCTTTATCGAGATCGAAATCTTCTTCGAACGAGGAGAACTGATGAGAATTATCAACAAATTTCCTCCTGGATTTGCGGGTAGACCCCATTTTTTCAATTTGTAAAATTAATAGATTCTGTATCAGTTTGATGATCAGATGATTTCTCGTTAATCTTCCTCTTCAAAGGAGAGGACGAAGAACAAAACTTTCCAGGGAATCCCATTTGGATTAGAGCTTGTTCCAGTGATATAACACTGTGAAACTGACAAGATACATAATTAATTAATTAACATATTAAATTAAGAACAAGCACAAATAATTCATAGGAAGATAAAATAAAACAAGGAAAGGTGGAATTTAAGAAGCCTGCAATTGAAAAGACCGGCGATTTTTTGAAGAATTCCACATAAATTAAACAAAAAATTTTAAGGCATGATGTAATCACAGAATTGAACAAAGGAAAAATTAATTCTTCTCAGCTTGTACAAGTCATATCACATAGAAAATAACAAAATGGAAAATTAATTTGAATTCAAATGACAAGACAAAGGAATGAAAAGCATTGATATTGACATATAATTAATATAGAAAATTGAGAATTAGTCAATTATATATTAAATATTTCCTTAGATTTACATAAAATTTTAAGGCATGATGAATAAAACAAAAGAAAATAGCAAACATTAGAAAGAAAAGAAAGTTAATTACCTTGCTGAGTGGAGTTCAAATTTATAAAGAGTAAAAAGTTAGAAAAACCCTAAAGGGTTTTTAAATGAAGAAGAATCAGATCTATAGAAATCAAAAGAAGTATGAGAATGTTATATACATGCCGAATAACTCTTGTTACTAATAATCAACGTAAAGGGTGTTGTTGACTATAATTTACCAAATTTAGATTTTTGGCGCGTTTACTCGTAGCATATAGCTTTGTTATCGCAGAGCGGCGGCTAATTATGGTAATTCCACTTAAAGTTAGATGAATTTTAACAAAAGTTGGCGACTTTTTTAACTTCCTAATATTGACCAAATGGGTCGAGTTTAAGATCTGTTTGATTTTCAACATTTGTTTTTTTTTCTTAAGATCTTCCGCCTTCACTTCAATAAATCAAAAGGAGCCAATGGAGTTGCATTGGACTTTCTGTTCTGTACCTTCGAAATTGACAAAACAAAGCTTTAACAGGGGCTAGCAAGTGGGTTTCTTGGTGTTGAAAAAAAAAAGCTTTAACAGGGCTAGCAAGTGGGTTTGTTGGTGTATCACTCCCATACTCAAGTCAATTCAGTATCCCTCATGTGTGTGTTTGGATTCTAGGAAGTAATGCTAATTATTTCTATAATAAAGAAAAATGTTTCCTATGAATATTCTTATAACAAACTTGCTAAAATTATGTTACCTTAGGTGTCATTTGGTTCAAAAAATATTGTATTACTAAAAATATATGATTATCAGTGAGATAAATTACTTTAAAGATTAAAGGAAATGTTATATTATATATGTTTGATTCGATTGGTAGGTATAAATAATTAATATGTTTGATTCGGAGCAATAAAAGAATTCTTGGAAGTCCTTTTACTAAATTGCCCTTTTTTTAAATATTATTATTATTATTTTATTATTTAGACTATTATTTTATTATTTAGACTATTACTTTTAACCCCCTAACATTTGATAATTTGGCTAAAACACCCCAGTTACAATAAAAGTTCAAAATTTAACAAAATACCCCCAGCCACCCAAGACCACTACCAGCCGTCGGCCACCACTGTTGTCAACCAGGTCTTTGGTAGAAAACGGCCAGATCCATTGATTTGTCCGTTTTCAACTATATTTAAGGTTGTTAACGGCTACAAATCTGGCTGTTAATAGCCATGGATATGGCCAAAAATAGCCAGATTGGTGCACAGCTGGCTAGTCGTGCGTTCCGACGACTTTCGGCTACGGCCAACAATGGTGGTTGGTGGCCGGTGGCCGACAGTGGTCTTGGATGGCTAGGGGTATTTTGTCAAATTTTAAACTTTTTATTAGGGATGAGGTGTTTTAGCAAATTCTCAAATGTAGGGGGCTATAATAGTCATTTTACACAGTTGGGCTAATTGTTATTTGACAGACATATGAGGGCATTTATGTCCAAAATATTAATTAATTAAAGGTAAAATGGAACAAAAATTGGATTATCTAATAATCTTAAAATACCACCATTTTATTCAACCCTCAATATCACCTACAATAATCACTATTGATATGAAAAGACTACCAAAATATTTTATTACTTAACAACCAAACACGATAATATCCGAATTTTAGGATAGATTATCGGAATAATTTTTTTGTTACCACTAACCAAACAACCCTTGGTGTT